TTTAACAATAAAATATAATTTAACTATATATTATATAATTTCTTTTATAAAGAATATGATACATATCATGTCATATATACCATTAACGCTATCATCGGAATTCTCACTCGCTTCTCAGCTTCGCTACCCTCAGTACTACGTTTTGAAAATCTTTCATTATCATCAATTCTTCATTTCTCGCCACGCTTTGTAGCCATTATGATAATAAATTTGAAACGAAAATATGAGAAAAAGGAGGAAATATATGAGAAAAAGGTGAACTAGAAAATTCGAAAAGGATGAGGAAAAAGGGGGAAATACATGAATCAGAAATTCAGAAAAAGGATGCAAGCTGTCATAATGTAATTTCCGCCATTCTATACTAAAAAAGAAAAAAAACTTGCGAAATATTGCGAAAAATGGATGAACTAATGCGAAATATTACGAAAAATGAATGTACCAATGCAAAAATTTTGCATCGTGATATTACGAAAAAATATTGTAACACTTTCATAAGATAACTTTAAAAAAAAACTCTCGTAAAAGCACATAGTACAATCGAAATATTAATCAAATCCAATTTATAAAAAAATAACATGTTACACATGTTGGGGCTTTTATGCATGGAAAAAAAAAGTTGCAGCCAGTGAACTCATTTGGCTGATCAGATTGATAGTGATCTTGAGCGCTTATAACCTGATTATCGCATAAATTTGTGGCTGATCATCCGTCCATTATTGTAAAAGTGATTTGCCGTGTTAAGCCAATAAATTTGCGGCTGATTATCAGATGATTAGCCGATTGAATAAGCCATCCGAATTCTTACAGCCCGTTACAGCAAATTCAAAATATGCGAAACACTCAGCACTTTTGCTGTCAGATTCACTTGGCAGGTTGCCGGCAAATTGAAATAGTAAATAAAATAATAAACAATATTTATATGGTACATCATAGACTTGTTACATTTATTTTTAGATTTGCCAACCCACGAACTCGGCAAGTTCCCGACAGCAAAATTGCTGAGTGTTTCGCATATTTTAAATTTTGCTATAATGCGTAAAATTGCGAATGATTCCGCGATATTAGCCACCAGATTCTTACAGCCAGTTCCATTCATTAATGCGTAAATTTGCGTAGTCGTGTCTATTCAAATAACTCAATCAATTGTAATCCATTCAATTAATTCATTAAATTTTTACAATGAATTTGCAATATAATTTTATTAGCACACATAATCTCATATAAATTAAATAGTGAATTGATACTTTTCATCAAATTTGACGCGTTAATTTAGTAACATGAGTTTCAAATGCCCCCTTTGTATGCGAATATTCAGTCAACGCTTTGCATATACTCAACACGCCCAAAAATGCTTAAAAAATGTAGAAGTAGAAGTAGAAGATGATGATGATAATAATGATAGTGAAAAATATAGCAGTGAAATGGATACAAGAAGTAATCTAAGTAGTGAATATGAAAATGATAAAGTTGAGGTAATTATGTTATTCCAGATTATTCTTTTTAAAGAAAAAGCTCAAATTATACTAACTCATTTTGGTTTATAATTTTAGGTGGATGATGATAATAATGTACAAAATATGTCATTTGACAGTATTGGAAGTGCAATATCAGAGATGAGCCTTGAAGCTAGTAACTTTGAAAATATATTAGATTCATCTGAAGAGCCTGAAATTTTTGAAGAACCCAAAAATCTCAATACCAAAACTTGCACAGAATTTCCTAATGATGCTTATAAAGATCTAATGTTATTAGTAACGAAATATAAAATAAACAATAAAGGTGGTAATGAAATAATACGTTTTTTTAATAAACATTCAAATCTTACAGAATCACCATTACCAAAAAATATTGAACAGGGACGAGCATTTATGAATAATATGAAGTTTTCTAATTTAGAATTTAGTAAAGTTCTTATAACAAAACATAAGGATAAAGATTATTTTCTTTATTATCAAAACTTAATACAGTGCATCAAAAATATCTTAACTGTTCCTGACATAACACAAAATTTTGCGCTATCTTACGAAAACTATGAGGTAAATAGTAAATATTAGTTAATTCAATAATTTAAATAATATTTATTTTAATTTATTTATATTATTTTATAGTATAATAGAGAAAGTATTTACAGTGAACAAAACACTGGAAAATGGTGGAAAACTACGCAAGAATCCTTACCTACTGGTTCCAAATTATTATCAATTATTTTATATTCAGATGCAACAACTACAGATACATTAGGAAAAAGTCAATTGCATCCAATATATATTTCATTAGGCAATATCCCAATATGGCGTCGTAATAAACAGGATGCAAAGCAACTTTTGGGATATTTACCAATTTTAGAAGCTGCAAATAAAGATCTGGTTCGTGATACCTTTCATAAATCTTTACGTCATTTACTAGAACCAATTATTTTATTAAAAGATGGTATAGACCTTTTTATAAATAATGAAAATACCTGGTTTTATCCTAGAGTTTCAACTATTATTGCAGATTGGCCAGAAGCCGCAAGTTTTTGTTTAGTTTATAAATCCTCCAATTCAAGCCTTCCATGTCACTCCTGTTTAATTAAAAGGGACAATCTTGCAAATATAAACTTATCGGTTAATGATGTAATACTAAGAACTCATGATGAAATGCGTAAATATTTTGAAAATGATACACAAAAATCTGTTTGCATAGAATCTGTACCTAATTTTTTTTGGGATTTGCCGTAAGTATGCAAAAGTAGAAATAATTATAATAACATATATATATATTAATTATAAATATTTATATTATCAAGGAATATAAATATCTACTTGGCTACTGTTCCTGACAGAATGCATCATTTAGATTTGGGTTTATTTCGTTATCAAATTATCTTCACGTGCGATATCTTAAAATTGCAACATGTTAATGGTAATAAATTAGTTGAAGAAGTAGATCGCCGTCTAGCAGCAATTCCACGTTTTCCCGCCATTAAAATTTTTTCCAATGGACTGCAGTCAATTGCAAGATTAACTGCTAATGAATATCGAAGTTTGATGAAAGTCATGATATTTGTTATTGATAATTTATATGATGAAAATAATAACGAAGTAGATAATTTTGTAAATAATGATGATCTTGTGAAATTGTACGAATATTGGAATGAAATGTATATTTTAAGTAGATATGAAGAATTTAGTGAAAGTGACTTGGAGAAATTTAATGTATGTATTAAAATTTTAGTAAAATCGAAAATTTAAATTAAATAAATTAAATTAACATTTAAATTTTAGGATGCAATACATAGATGGGCGCGGATGTTTGTCAAGGCTTTTAAATTTGTTTCTCCTTCCAATTTGAAGTTGCCTAAATTGCATTCATGGGTTTATCACATTATTGACTCAATACGATCTTATGGCGCAATAAATGGCTATACCACAGAAACTTACGAAAGTCTCCACAAATATTTCGTTAAAATACCCTACCGAATTAGCAATAAAAAAGATGTCGAACCTCAGCTTTTACGAACTGTAAGTATTTGGAAATTTATTTATTGTATATATTTATTATATAACTTAAGATGGAAATTAAATTAATAGATAAAACGTCAAGCAATATCTATTAGAATGTCTCAACATTCAGTGAATCCGGCAAAAACACCTCGCACTTGTAAATTTTCTGCAAGACTCTTTGATTTCTCTTTACAAGATGCAAATACATTTTTTAATGAAAAAAAAGATTCCGTAGACAATAAAATGCAGACCGGTTTTGCTAGATTTATAAGTTGTCTGGATTCATATCTAGATTTACTTGATGGGTTCACAATTATTGGTGAAACCCGAATAAACATATACGGATCGGTAACACTGGAAAATGGTGCCATAATGCGTGCCACAAACAGGTATCATAATAAAGTATGGTTTAGCGACATAGCTATTTCAATGGATTCTGAAGAATCAAATGATTATACATCAGACAAAGGACTTTGTTATAGACAGGTATTTTTCCAATTTATGTAATAATTTATTATAAAGTATTAATAAATATTTATTATTTATAGGCCTTATTGTTAGCAGAAGTATTAACAGACCCACCGCTAAATCTCGCATTAATTCAATGGTACGATTTTAAATCTAAAAGGAACCCATATTTATATGGATGTCCTCACTTAAAATTGATAGAATTATATAACTTTGTAGCTATAGAGTCTATACATGGTGTCGTTCACATAGTACCCCGATTTGATAAACAAAATGAATATTTCGTAAATAAATATATTTTTTAGTCACTTGATATAGGAGTTTTGATTTATTTTAATAAAATTATATCCTTAAAGAATTTATGGTCACGTTTCCCATATCATAAATAAAATGCAGATTTATTTATTTAATTATTAACAACACGGGTGTGACATAAATAAATCGTGACTGAAATTTGTGTTCAATTTGTGTTCAATTTGTGTTGATAATTCTGGTAAAAAATTATTAATTTTGGCCAAATTTCGTTAAATTTGTTAAATTTGTGTTGAGTTTGTGTTGAATTTGTGTTGCGTAATTTTTTATTTATCACAAGGGGATGATATTTAGTAATTGCATGTACGACGTACAAGATTTTTTTTTATGATTTTTTTAAGAAATGTACGCAAAATATTTAATCAGAATATAATTGTTTTATTTTTAAATATGATATATTGATGATTTTTTTTTTAAAAAAAAAAATTGATTTTTTTAAAATTCAATAGAATGTGCTAATAATAAATTGGTTTATTTTTAAATATAATATATTGATATTTATATTTAAATAACCAAAACATGTACATGATTTTTAATTATTTTTAATTGAAATCAAACTAAGATTTTTTTTTTTAAAAAAAAATTAAAATAAATTAAGTGATTTATATTTATATTTAGAATCATGATATTTATATTTAGATAATCCATATCCGCATGAGATTTAATTAATATGTTTAATGATGAAAAGTCTAATAAATTAAATTTTAATTGAAACGAGAAATAAAATCAAACCAAAGAGGTATTGTTCAAATTTTATTTAAAGTGACATTTTACGACTTTCTTTCAAATTTTTACTCATCCCAAAATCAAATTATAAAAATCAAATCAAATCTAATAATGCCTCGCCAAACACGTCGTCGTTCCTATAACGTCCATTGGAACTGGGCTATGATGGACGAACTTGTCGACATACGCCGCGACAGAAACCGCGCCTACCATAATATTAATGGTAGAAGCCGCCATGATTTTTGGGACTCTGTTGCCAATAGGTTCATATGACTAATATCTATAATTTCTTTAAGAAAGAATTTAAATTCAAATTAACCAATCCATTTAATTGAATCAGAATAAATAGAATATTTCGAACGAGGGTTTCCGGGCAACAGTGCAGCCAAAAGTGGAGGAACCTCGTCAGGGATTACCATGTAAGTAAATAAATAAAATTACATTCATATAAATTAAATGTATTTACCGAATATTCAAACTGATTTTGATATTTAGAACTATGTCCTTTATCGTAATGGTAACCCTGGGCGGCGGCTGTGGACGCGTACCGGCGCAAGATATTATCGCGAATTTAGAACGAGATTTTGGGAGAGGCCGGGTAATTATACTATAATAAAATTTATAATTAATATTTACGTTCATGTTTTAAATTTGATAAATTTGATCAATTTTAGTCACGCGTGACGATCGTAGGGCAAGGAGAAACTTACCTACGTATCGTAGAAGAAGATAATTATTTTTATTTTTTTATTATTTATTAAGTGAGTAGCTAGGCCCAGTCCGTACCAAATATCGGCTGGAGACTCACGTTTTTTTTGGGCTGTGACTGATACTGACGTCCACGCCGTACAGCCTGGGTACTATTTTATAAAATAGTAGCGAACAAGTATCAAATGTGTATTTTTTTTATTAAGTTATAATAAAAATTAGAATTTACTTTAATTTTTAACATAAAAATTGTAAATAATAAAAAATTCGTAAATAAAAATAAATTTGCTTTCCCAAACTTAAAAAAAAAGGTGTTTATATAAAAGAAAAGGTGTTTATATTATTTTTGATTATTCAATAGTATCACATGCCCCTTGTATACGTTCTACTGCATATGCAGTTTACAATCTCGTAAATTTTCGAAATATTTCAACCGTAATATTACGCAGGTTTACAGTTTCGTAAATTTTCGAAATATTTCAACCGTAATATTACGCAGGTTTACAGTTTCGTAAATTTGCAGAATATTTTGACCGTAATATTGCGTAAATCTTACGATATTGAAAACTTACGTAATATTTTAACCGTAATATCACATAAATCTTACGAAATTGTAAACTTACATAATATTTTGAAATTTTTCGAAATATTATGCCATAAACTTTCGTAAACTTACAAAATCGTAAACTTACGCAATTTTTCGCGCTATAAAATTTCCTGATGAAGCAGTGAGACAGCAAACCAGATAGATTAACAGGTAAGCCTCTAGACGGTCTGTCGAGCCACAGAGAGGTAACCAGGTAGGTTTACATCCACCCCGTCCTCCCCGTCTCAGAAAAAATAATAATTGAACAATGGGTAAACCATAAGTAATATATAATGATGAACTTACACGCAGCCATAGAAGGTGATACTAATCCACCTTTCTCTTTTTTGCCTTCTTCCCTACTGTATCTCTTTTTATCCTATCATCCAAACATTTAGCAACACACTACTGACACGCCTTATCAGATTGAAAGATTTCAAGCCCAAGTTCTTTGCATTGTTGGTTAAAAGCTGCGGCTTTCTTTTTAGCTATAGCATCTTCCTTCTCTTTTTTGCTCTTCTTTTTAATCACCTACCTTCTCCAGTAAAAGTATTTTTATGCATACTACAAACCACACAGTCACCATGCAGCCGGTAACGCCCATTTGTAGTCATATCTTGTATTTCACTAGCCATCTCAGTTCGATCTCAGTTTGATCCGAGTTTGATCTGAGTTTGATTCGAGTTCAATCACAGTTCGATTCAAGTTCAGTCCCTATAGACAGAAAGCCGTATCTGAAGCAAAAAGGGTGGACACTTGATTGAATTTGTTTGGAAGTTTCCATCGCCTAAAGAGAGAAAACACCTACTCGTATCTGGTATCACAGCTAAGAATGCAGATACCTAGATTAAATATGTCTTTCGGGAAGCTTATGGACTCTCTGATAAGACCCTAGGAGCTGACTTTTAGGACTTCTTAGCAAAAGTACGGGGTAGAACTGCAAAGGCTGAGTCTCCGAAAACTGAGAATATGAAGGAGTTATTCTTCCAATATGAAGCCCTGAAGTCTAGTCATCCTCTAGATAACAAAAAAATAATAGAAGGTATTAGTCCTTCTACAGATCTTTTTTAAAGGTAATATGGACCGTCAAGCACTATTAGTCGGGATTAAAAGTATCTTATAGAGGGATCGACTGGAGGACCGAAGGAAGAAGTGAAAATAGTTGACGAAGTTCATCTGCCAAAGCCCTAAGAATCATGGCACTTTTTTTACAGCCCTCAAAGTCAATCCTTAGCATCCTAGCTTTTAACCCGATAGCTTCTAAGGCTCGAGAAGCAAAATTCTTAGTCATCGGATTACTTACATGACTTAGATAGTTTTCATAGAATGTAGTGAAGGGTTCGTCAATACCATCTGAGTATGTATCCCGTAAGAATTGATATAAGACAATTTCTCCACTGTCATATCCAATGGCTATAAGCTGTTCAAGAAGCCACTTTCTAGTATTTTTCTATGGCTCGACAGACCGTTTAGAGGCAAGTGTCCATAGTTTGGTGGCCATAGTTCAGTGGTCATAGTTCGGTAGCCATAGTTCGGTGGTCATAGTTCGGTGGTCATAGTTCGGTGGTCATAGTTCGGTGGCCATAGTTCGGTGGTTATAGTTCGGTGGTCATAGTTCGGTGGTCATAGTTCAGTGGCCATAGTTCGACACATAGGGTGGCTATACTTGGGTGATCCAGGTGTATATATAATGGGTGGCCATAGCTTGAATTGGGTTTTGGAGCCTGAGGGGCTGACTAAAGTGGCCATAGTATTATCATAAGTTTTTCGAACTGTGGACAGTACTATGGACAGAAATTCTATCCGATTTTAAGTTTTCTCCCAGTTTTAACCGCTTTTTAGTAATCTGTCCATAGTGTCCATAGTGTCTATAGTAGTTTTATATATAAGAAAAAATGTAGAAAAAAAAAGTGAAAAAGTACTGTGGTCAGGCCGGCCAGTATGGCCAGAGTAGTATATAGGGTAGGCTATACCCCTGTAGGGGGATGTAGATACTGCGAGGCCGTGAGGCCAAGGTGGGAGGAGCATAGTGACTCACACTATCAGCCCGATGACAGAACTGGAGATAGATTCTGAGACAGACCGCGAGAACTGCAAGGGAAGATTCAAAAAATACCTAAGTCATCTAAGACACTTAAGACACCTAAGACACCTGTGACATCGCAACCTCCGACCAACATAACTCCTACTATTGAAGCGTAAATGAGGTTGTCACTAGTTCTAGCTAACCGGTGACAGAACTGGAGACACCTTTCCATATCTCCTTTAGCTTCTTAGCGTGAAATAAGCCATTCAAAGTAGGTGTCACCAGTGTCACTAGTAAATTTCGCAAACTACTATTTTAACTTTTTTTACCCAGCCAGTTCTGATTTTTTCCGAATTTTGGCTGGGTCCTAGTTGAACCATCTGTGTCAACCGTCACTTCAAGTCGCGAACAGGCATTACTCAAGTGCATCATCAATACTAGATTTTCTGAGACAAGGCGTCCCAGAAATTTCGGTCACATGATTTTGTTCTATTGATGGCTCTTGTGAAGACAACTCCGAAGCAAATAATTCTTGCTTAAGCTAACACTCTTTCCCCGGGAAAAGTCCTGAGCATTTGTATTTATTTTTTCGTACTCTATCATCTGTATAATGGGATGCGTCCCTCTTTATTGTATTTATTCTTCCTTTGGTCAGTCTGTATTAATAAAACATTCACTCGAAAAAAACATGTACACACACGTTTTAAATGGCAAGGGAACCTGTATCATAACCATCTTCTATAACCCCATAGTCTAAGAATACAGGATATCCCCAAACTCTGCAGGGAAGTCAACTGGCGTGCCCTTGGGCACGTTAACATAAGCAATGAAGGCTGGCTTTCCATTAACCATTTCTCCACTTATATAGGATATAGACGGAGTATTATGAGCATATGCGCTCCAAAGTTTACATGAAAGAGTTTTAAGTAGTGGAAAATACACGTCATCCATAAGCGGAATTACTTTCTCATCATCGATGTATTTCACAGAATCTTTGCAATTTTCCTGGTTATAGATATAACAATTTCTTCATATTCTTATAGGCCCAAGTAATCTCTCATTACAAATAATTTCAATATGATCACCGGGAGCAATAGTAACAGCGGAAAAACCACCACCTACATTTGGTGCCACTGGTGCAGTATCTGTAGGTTCTCCACCCACGGTAGACCAGTTTTCATCCCAAGTACCATTTGGAATAATGTTTGCACCAGTTGCAATATCTGCTCTGACTGTGCCAATTTCAGTGGCGGCCTTACCTCGAAGCTGACCGGCAGTGTTTAAACCACCAACCTGACTACCCCATTTCCCGCAGCTAACGCTCTAACTGCAGTTAAAGTCACAACACCCAGATTGTCTGAGAGATTATTACACCTCCAGTTCTTACCTTTAACTCGGGTCTCATACCATTTTTTTGCATCACCTTCAAGACATGAAAGTAATAACCCGTATGCTTCTTCTCTTCCAGCAGCCTGACCAGCGCCAGGTGCAACATTTATTCGACTACCTACTACATATCTCTGAAATTCTCTGATAAAGTCTTCCGGGTCTTCACAAACTCCCATGAAAAATAGGAGGGCCATATCCTGATTCAGGTTCTGATTCCGATTCTGTGGGCATTTCTTCTATATTTGGCGACTTGAGCATCTTTACGCTGAATCAATAGACGAAAAGCAAATTTCTCTTGTAATAATGTCGCAATTCATGCTTGTCTCTGTTGAGCTATTCGTTGACTATCCCTGTGTGCATCCCTCTCATTATTATAAGCCGCGAACTGCGACGATAATGTACGCATGAACAATAGTTAGTAAAGGATAGCGGGAAGGAACTGCCACTCCTCTTTTGAACATATGCCCTTTCTGGTTTATTGTTTCAGGTTTTTGTTGCTATGTTTGACTACTGTTTGACTATTATCCCGATTCTGATTCTGAGTCCGTCTCCTCTGGTTCCCATTTCGAGGATGAGGATCCTGACACTTGGTCTCTTAACACTCCTCGCTTTCCGTCTCCTAAGGTGTATAAGTTTTTCTCTAACCCGCTTGCCTCTCCCGGTGATAGGCTTTCTTCTTGCGAAGTCCTGGGCCCTGACAGCTTTGTCTTGCGCGTGGAGGCTGAAGGCTTCATGCACTTTCACGATGTTGATGCGTTGGAGCGTTTTGTGACTTCTGCTCCCTCTGGTCGCCAAGTTTTTCATGAGTATATTCGCAAGGGTCAGCTTCAGAAGATTAAGCTCGATCTGGATGGTAACGAAGCGCGCCTTGCGAAATACCCTGACCCTCTCCTTATCGCCGACTCTGCCCCCTCTGACGCCTCTGCCGCTGCAAGATTGGTTATCACCAGCCACCGCCTCCCTGTGTGGCGCGATATGACTGTGAGGGATCGGAAGACTAATGAGATTCTGACTTTTATCTTCCAGGTATTAGCATTTTGATTCAGCGCCTCACTGGCTCTCCTATTCGCCATGATGATATTTTCGTCGCTAACTCTTCCAACCGGTCTAAGTGGAGCGTCCACATTATTCTGCCCACATTCTTCGTAAATGGTGCTGCCAAAGTGAGGAAATTTACTGACAACTTGCTGCAGCTCCCCTTCCTCCAGCATTTTCGCGCCTCTGGCATTCTCGATGAAGGGGTTAACAAGAACATTCAGAACTTTCATTTGGCGGGCTTCCATAAGCGGTCTGACCCCTCAAGGGTTAAAGTGATTCGTACGTCTCATTCCTGGCGTGACTCCCTTATCACCTTCATAGAGCCTGGGGATGTCGAGCTCTATCCTTACTTAAAGTCATCTGCCGCTCCTGTTCCTGTGAAGGTTCCGGATTCTCCTTCTGCGCAAGATCTGGATCAGGTTGTGAAGCTTGTTGTGAAACGCTTTCCTTTTCTGGCATTTCACGGTTGCGTTGCTGGGCGTGATGACTATGATCACCTGTACCCCTCTCTTTGTGACGTCTGCAATTCTGGCTCAAAACACACGAGCGATAACATGTACAGCGTTTGGCGCGGCGCTGCGTATTATCTCCACTGCTACAGGGCCTCCGACACCGCTGAGCCTATCAAGATCTTTGAGGTGTCCGCTAAGAAGTTGAAACCTCCCAGCAGAGCTGCTCTCTTGGCTGCCCGCCTCTCGTCGCAGTCGAGTCGCAGGGGTCTATACCTTTGGACCTCACCTTCTCTCGCGTTGCCTCCGATCCCTCTCAGATTTATGAGGATGAGCGTATGCGCCCTTATAGCCTTCAGGCATTGCTTGGCGCTGGCGCTACGCGACATCTCGTACTTGTTAAGGCTCATTGTAGCGTCGGCAAATCATTTCAGCTTTCCTAAGAGCTTCAGGATCTTAAGACCTGGGATGGTTCTCTGGCAACTGTGTTAATTCTCTCTGGTCGTCACTCACTCGCTCATGGTCAGAAGGCCCTCTTCGCGGGCTTCGAGCTCTACCTCGATCACGCGTCTGTCTCCTTCTCCCTCTGTGCGAATCCTCGCCTGATCATTAGCCCCGAGAGCCTCTACAAGATTGATTCCTCTGGTTATGACGTGATTGTCTTGGACGAGTTCGAGACTATCACCCAGAACTTTAGCGGGCTCACCATGAGGAAGCCTGCCCTCTGCCACAACATCTACAAGTCCCTGCTCCATGATGCTTCGCTCGTCTTGGCCTTGGACGTGTCCTTGGATACTTCCGGAGTCACTCACCTGCAAGATCTAGCCCTAATTGGCTCTGAAAATAGCTGCGTTCACTGGAACCGGTACTTGCGCAATCAGCGTGAGGCTCGCTTCTACATTTCTAACAACCGATGGAACTCCGAGCTCCTGGGGTCCCTTGAGAGCGGCCTTAAAGTCTATATCCCCATGTTCTCCAGCCCTGAAACCGCCTTGGCCTTGCATCAGAAATTGGAAAGTCTGGGCTTTCGCGGTCACTGCTTTACCAAGCTCCTCAGTGAAGTCGAGAAAAAAGAGACTTTTGCTGATATTAACTCTGCCGTGCGTGGCCTCGACTACTTGATTGCCACTCCGGTTATGACCTGTGGTATCAATATCACTGTGGCTGGTTTCGACGTTGCCTTCGCCCATTTTCGCACCAACGCTGGCATTTTTTTCTACAGCGCTTATCAGATGCTTTATAGGGTTCAGATTCTCTGTAGTCAGCGCGTTCACATCCTCACTGACCTGCGCAGGGACAGTCTTCCCGTGTTTTGCGAGGACCTTCTCGCTTTCATCGCCCACTGCTGCAACTACGCCAAGTTTCCCAAACTTGAAGAGGCCCACTGTGAGCGCATCCTCACTACTGATGGGCATTTTGTCCTTAAACTTTGTCCCGCCTAGAAACTCACCTCTACAACGTCTCTAAGATGAATCTTTCTCGGAACGATTTCATGGGGTGTCTTGCTGAGGTCTTGCGGGGCTCAGGCTACTCTGTCCTCAATGGGGAGGCTGTTCCTCTCTTTCCTGGCAAGACGCCGGATAAGGACGGGGCAGCCCTGATGGCCTCTAACCGCGAGAATAAACGGGTACTTGATGACGTTAAGTTTCAAGTTCTAGCTGATGCCCCTGTCCTTTCTCCTGAACAGAAAGCGGATATTGAGCTGGCTTTCGAGAATGAGATTTCCATCGACGAGTCTGCTCGCCTGGCCCTGTAGAAGTCAAACTTATCTACCTTCTATTCGGTCGATCCTGAAGATGTATTGGCGTCCTTCGCCAAGGACTATGCGTCTCTTGAGATAAAGAAAGTCTTCACCGCCCTGCATCTATCTCTCTTGCCTCCTGATAAGCTTCGCAGCAAACACCGAGACTCTGTCTTTCGTGATCCTCGGGAGAAGATCTCTTGCATCTTTGTCCTGCCACACGTTCAGGCCCTCGACGAGATCCTTCACGATCTTGGTTTCTCTGCTAGCGTTTTCACTACACAGCCCGTCTCCAGGAAGTTCTTCGATGCTTATCTCCAGGCGTTCGTCCCCACTTTCAAGGCTAAGTAGCGCCATTACTACGCGGCTTTCGGCAAGAGGATGAAGCCTCATTCTTACTACAACTTAAACTACTTTGTACGCTTCCTGCGCCCGCCTTTCGCTCTCCTAAAGACCTGATTGAGTACGAAAGCCGGTAAGGAGCGCGTACAATGCCTCAGCCTAATCATCAACCAGAAACTCATCAAGGTCTTACCGCCGCTGGCCTTACCAGTCAGAGCTCCAGAGCCAGCAGAGCCTCCTTCTTCCAATTTTCCAGTCATTCCGAAATCGCTCACCATTCACAGTGTGGCTGAGATAGATGCGCTCTTAGCTCTAATTAAGCAAGCCTGGCATCCTGACCCTGATAGATTCGATGGTGGTCTCGCAACCTTCGCACCAAGCTCTGGAACTATCTGACATACTTTACGGATGAAGCTAAATACGAGGCCTTTGCGACTGCTGAAGTCCCTACCACCGCAAGATTAAAATGGAACTAAACTCTCTCCACAGAAATTACCATCACCTACGCCTTCCCCGACTCATTTACCTCCGTGCATACTGTTCCCTAACTGGTCATGCTCCTATATAAAAAAAATCAGATGGAACAGATTGCTGTGTTCAGCAGTCCAAGGAGTGCAACAACGGGGGGAATATGCTTTGTCCGGCAATCTTTGTACTACAATCTGCCCCCTGGGAGCATGGTCAGTGAGGAAGCAGATGCACGGCAGTGGCTCAGGACTCTAGTCCAGGCCTTGTGTCGATCTATGGTAGCCATGGCACGTATCAGTGTGGTCGAGTTTTGTTCTAGGGAGGCTATGCGTGTGTTGAACTCTATGTGGTCCCAGTGTCCTGCCACGTACTGCGTGACTGCTACAGCGAGGTAGTTATCTCCGTGAAAATCTCTTGCGACATACAGCGTTAGCCAGGTGTCTGGCCCGATATGGGTTGCCAACTATTGTGACGCGAGATAGGCCAGTCTGATGATCAACAGCTTGTGGCTTTCTATGTACAGCTCCAGGAGCAGGAAGAACGACACTCACTGGAAAGAAATGCATTGGTATATAGGAAACACACCACGGCCTGGAAGGCCTCGAGGCTCGTGCCAGTAATCTGTATTTCGTCTGTGTTGGACTCCTTTCACGTCCCCTCCAGCATGGCCTCAAAATACTCACACTTCGTCAGCACCTCCCTGTAGGCCCCGACTCTATGGTCATCTGGAAACACGAACCGGACATTCGGCATGTTCTGCCTGGGATTGGGGTAGTGGCCGAATGCCTCGCACGCCTTGTCATGAGCCTGTTTTACCCTTAACACCTTTATCATGATTTCGACTACTAGGTCGGAGGCTTCGGTCACCTCTAGACACAGGAGCTCAACAGCTAGCACTGGGTACATTTCAAAGGCTTTGAACTGGTATACACCCCAGGACTCTTGCGACTCTAATCTGTTAATAACGCCCTCATCGTTCACATACGAGACTGCGGCTGACCAACAGAAGATTCTTCGTACCTCCCCGGGGGTCTATATACAGATACAGCAGACTCTATGCTTGCTCATCCCTGGCTTGCCTGCTTGCACGTCTGAGTTGAATCTCCAGCAGAGCTCGTATTTCCCGTCAAGCATTACAATAGGGTCACCCCGCATCACCGAATTGTCATATGCTTCGAACCCATACCCGTAGATCCTCCAGACGTAATCATACCTTCCCGTTTTAGGGTCAATGAGAGCACATTCTCATCCATCCATATCCTGCGATTCACATCAATTCACAAAGCTCTTCAGTTGCATCAAATTTGTTGTCCTTGCCCTGCAGCCTGCCCACTCGATCTCAGTGGTATTGGGCTTGTGAGTACCTGTCTGAGGGCCTGCTCGAGGGCTTGGGTGCTGTTCTACAGTTTATAGTCAGAGTCACGGGATTTCCATGTTGATAAGTTCAGTCTGCAGAATGATTCCACCATTGATAATTGTTACCTCGCGGTCAGGTACTCTTGCGAAGAAGACTACAGTAAAAAATTCGTGTCGAGTACTCAAATACATACCACCGAGATTGGGCCTTCTGCCAATTTTTTATAAAAGATTACGCAGAAGGCTCCATCAAAAAGTATATATCTAGAAGCCTTTCTTTTCGATTCTCCATCGGTTATATCAAATATTTATCAGATGTATACTGAAAATATCATGTCGGGTCAGAATTTTCAGTGACGGGAAGTGGGATCCCCATCATGGAAAATGTGTTCATGTAATTTTTCTCAGGTATCGAAGTGGTCATGAAATTGAATACATCCTGTACAATATTCACTGCTTCGATATCGGTATACATCTGATAAATATTCGATATAACCGATACGCATTCGGAATATTCAGTTCATTCGGTATACCTGATTTATTTTCGGGGGCTTCTTTTAAGACACGTGAGAGCAACCACCGCAGTCGCAGACCAAATCACACAGGATGGAGACGAGCAAGAATAATCTCCTGCGAAATGCGGGATGCTACCAGTTCAAGTCCGTCCTAGTTTGCAGATAGGACGTTCGAAAAAATAAAATCTCACCAGCTACATGTTAATCTTTAGGAAACTAACCCTGAAAATTAGTTTTTATCGTAGATGCTGAATGGTCTTGCCTGATTATATGGTTCTCCTCTTTTCCGCATATTGACAATAGTATATCTCTTAGATGGAGAAGCATGATTGTCAGGCGAATGGCGAAGGGCTTCACTGGCAAAAGTAATAACCTTCGATGAATTCTTAGGTCCATGCACCACGGAAGCAAAAACTGAACCTAATTTGCATAAAGAGCTAGGGAGGAGCGGTTTACCACTTTCGGGGAGGAATTCATCTTTTTTCAGAAATGAACTTAAGTATACAGAACCAGGCTTTCCAGGGTCTTTTAACTGTCTGGAAGAAATCGCTTTCTGAATCCATGTAAACAATTGTCTTGCCCGCTCCTCATCCTTTTCCAGTGATTTAAACATCTGAGGATTGTCTTGTGTTCCCCTATTTTTCACGTATCCAGTCACACCCCCATTAAAAATGTGCAAGTTTTGAATTTCAGCAGGACGAATGCAGAGCATGATCATGACGTCTGCTAGAGCCTGTTTATCGGGTATATTAGATACATCATACCCATTTAGTCTTTCTATAACCGATTCTAATGAAAAGTGGTCCAGAAAATCAATCCCTTCATTTTCGCGTTGTTCACTACGTTCCTTTTGAATTTTATTAGACTCTCTAGTAATCTCTGGATGCTTCGTAGCAGAAATAATTTTTTCTGAAGTATTAAGTGCTCGCAATTCTTTTTGAAGCCTAAAAAGATGGGATAAGGTAACGACAGGATCAGGAGCTATTAAGGTTCTAGATATAGCTTTTACGTCTCTTTCACTAAGATCATCTTTCACAATACGCTGAGCTGTTTCTTTAATAGTCTCCCCAGAACTACTATCAGATACTTGACATACATCCGCTTTCTCGTCTTCCAAACCTTCTTCTTTGGAGAATACTGAGTTTTTACTTCGCCCAACTCTCTCACGAGGAATTAATGCAAATGCCTGTTCTTTGCTGAACTTATACCCTTTTTGAAGATGATTATGAGCCTGATGTCTTTTTTCTTTATCAACCTTTGGTGCACCGGTTGTCAGGAGCTCAAGTATTCCTGGCGAATTTTGGCTAAGCTCTTCAAGGCTCGTCTCATTGGTAAGTTTACGGTCTGTAACGAACTTGGTTGTATAAATAGCAGACATGAAGTAAATTTTTAGGTGGTAACGAGAGAAAACCGTGGTAGTCAGATTAAATTGGAAGAAAAAAGTTTAATTCGAAGCGCCAACAGGATAGAGCAACGGGGAGCCAAGGATATTGGTAAGATGAAAATGACCCAACAGACGGACCCAGAGCCAGCAAGGCTAACCCCCCACGACAACAGCCTCCAGGAGCCCCTAAGGATCTACAATGAAGAGAGAACGATAACAGCAGTCTACCACTCGCAAGCGCGGGAGGAGATGCAGAAGGCCCACGAGAAGTTAGACCAGACAACGGACCTGGCATACTCGTTCGCAGCATTAGCATTTTCTGTAAAAGCGGGCAAAGAATGGATAGTATCAGAGGGGCACATCGGAGAAGAAATAGCAAGTGGGCCGGAATACTTCTTCACACTCCTCGACTTGCTAGGAATAACAGTGCCCCAGAAAATAACTTCATGATGCCTGTGTTCGAAGACATTCGCACTCATGGCGGCATGAGCGTGGGCTGTCTATTCAGAGAAACCGACTTCTCTATCTCTGGACAACAGACCTGTATCATCCAGGTAAAGGCCGGCGTTGACGAAAAAAGTGACACACGTTCCCAGACCACGATATATGCCTTGCTAGCAGGCCTCGAACATGCATTTCTCCTAAACTTCAGCGAGGGGCGAGTAGAGAAAATAAAAGCAGCAAACACACAGTACATGAACGATATCGCGCGAGCAGTAGTAGCACTGCGGGGGTCAGGAACAATGAACGCAAACAGGCGGAAGCTTGAGAACATAATACAAGCAGAGATCAGAGTAACCATAGCAGTACAGAAAAAAGACGCAGAAACCACAGAAACAGTGAGCTTAGCATACACGCTGGGAAGGAGTGAAATACATAGCAGGTTCTACCATAACAGCACAAAAGAAACCGTCAGGGAGGCCTTCCAGGAATGGCTGAAACAGATAAGCCACAAGCCATGTCTAATAACGTGGGACACCGGAGGTCAGAAGCTAGCAGAAGAAGTGATAGGCATGGGCACGAGCGCGACAGAACACCTAAAACTCCAGGAGCATCTCCCGGCGTGGCAGCAGGCTCAGAACATCAACCTACCCCACTCAGCTAGTCTCACAGCGATAACACAGCAAATAATAGACGGCCAAATAGCGTTCACACCAGGACTAGCGTACGAGGAGGCAATAATGCTGGCAATAATGTACAACAGCATGTTTGACCATGACGGAGCATGTTAGGGGGGAGGGGGAGGCCGCAGAGAGGCAGCGGGGGAGAGCAGAGAGAGCAGGCGAATGCAAAGGTAACCAGACAGGCCGCAGAGGTAGTGGGAGAGCACCAGGACAGCAAGAAGGAAGAGCAACCAGGATCAAACCTAGAGGCTGAAAATGCGGTGAGAAAAAAGGCAGTAGTTAAATAAAATGGCGATACCACCCCGCAACCACCGGGTGGTAATCAGACCAAATGGTGATACACAACAGGTAAACAAAACCCACCAAAAAAGGGGTAAAACAAGCAGCCAGAGAGCAAAAAAGGCAGCAATCCGACCAAACCACCCAGACCATACGGCAGCAGTTAGATCACATTATTTAGACCATATGATGACAGTCAGACTCCATCATTCAAGTTATATGGTGGTATTTCAACCATATTATGGTACCTCAGTTATATGGTGGTATTTCAACCATATTATGGTACCTCAGTTATATGGTGGTATTTCAATCATATTATGGTAATATAATCTAGGTTAAGTCGTCACATATCACACTTTAGTATATGTATACTAAAGTGTGATATGTGACGACTTAGCTCAATCAATAGGTCCTTTGCCATAGCTTCCAGAAATTTCATATTGAAAATAAACTTTCACCTCGCCACCAAAAATTGATACGGCATCATAAATAATGTGGAAAATAAATTCACAATGGGTGGCCTCTTTTTTACTAATTAAAATATAGAAATTATCATAAAATATGTGCAGCCATTCCCTGATGACATTCATTACTTAAGGGGTCAAATTCTATTTAAAATATTAAGAACGTAGATAATAAATGTATGTTTTAATTATTAATCATTTATTAGATTATTAGATTATTCATTTGTAATTAAAAAAATGGATATGAACTATCATGAATAATGGTTAGTACATTTTAGTGGCAGGCCACTTGTCCAGATTTTAACTATAATAGGAAATAAATGATAATTAAAAAATTATTAATTAGGACTTTATTCCCAAGTTTCTTGATTGATTTTTTTTTAAAAAAAATTGACGAAAAAAAGAATATACATTTTTTTTTACTGTTTTTGTGCAATGACAAGAAATATTTTGATTGCGATATATGGTTAACGTAAGGTCATAAGGTGTAAAAATTATTTAACGATCAGGTTGTACAGGATTGTATTGTACTAATTAATAAATAATAAATAAATACGTTTAGCTCAAAAAATATATTAATAATTCGAAATTATAAATTTGACTTTTCGTTTGTCATTTTTATCATTTGAGGTAAATAAGGTTATTTTACATTATTGTAATATAATAAAAAATAAATAAAAATACAAAATTTAGTATGGAATTATCAAAAAAGAAATCAAGGAATTTATAGATGCATATTGATAAAAGAAAACATCATGAAAAATTTATTTCTTATTACATAGTAATATGTTGTATAATTAAAATTATTTAATTTTTTAACGATGATAATATTAATTGAAAGCTTCATGTTGCCATTGGTTCAACTACTTAATCAGAAGATACAGATAAAAAGATAATTTATATGGAATATTTAGAAAAAAAGCACAAGTATATGGAATATGTGGAGAATGTAATGAACCTGGTCAGGAAGTTCATAAAAATTGTAAATTACATGATATAAATATTTTTTCTATAATAATTGATAAATAATTTAATAAATAACGAGATCATTAATCTTCAACTATACATTCAAAACACTCAGACTTTTCTTTAACGATTTCCTGAACTATGAATTCCGACTTTTCTTGAGCTAAAATTTCAGTAAATTTAGTGAATTTGCTACTTGTATAATTTGCTTGTGGATGAGATTTCATAATAGAAGTATTTGCTTGTTCTTGTACTAAAGTTTTGTTTGCTTCTACAAATTCAAACATATCATCTTCTAATTGATTATTAACATTAGGTACCGTAAAGTTATATTCTCCATCCCTGTTCATTTCATAATATCCATTAATACTCCTAATCCATTCAGATACAATATTTTCAAGCATTCTTACGGTTGGTCTGTTGGAGGGATTTGAATCCCAACATTTTTTCATTAAATCTACATAACATTTTGGAGTATTTTTTATAATTTCAGGACGTTTTTCTTGATTACAAATATCCAAGATAAGTTCAAGATCATGTGCTTTATAATTAAATGGAGGAATACCTGATGTAAATTCCCACATTATCATTGAAAGACTATAAATATCACTTGCTGGAGTATACGGATTTCTTCTTAATATTTCAGGTGCCATATAAGGCAAAACACCATAAATTTCATCATCATCATTATGCAATTCACTTATAGGTTTACATAATCCTAAATCAATAATAAATAATTCATCATGATTATCTGATAATAAAATATTACCATCATGAAAATCACCATGAGTTAAATTTGATTCATGAATTACTTTAAGTCCTAAAATAATTTTTTTCAATAATTGTAGTTTATCTTGCCACTTAAATTTAATTATATCAGACAAACATTTTCTCAAACTTCCTCTTTTCGCATAACTCATTACAATTATATAATTTAAATTATTCGGATCTTGAGTAATTCCAAAGAATTGAATAAATTTTGAAAATGATTTTTTTTGACAAATATAATGATATTTCCACTATATAAATGATAAAAAAATTATTAAATTTTTTGCAAAAGAAAATAAAATTTGCTATTAAAATAAATACTATACCTCATCTAGAAATTTATTATTTAAATTTGATGAATTATTAAGTGTTTTGAGAATAACCTCATACTCTGTTTGTCTATACCATTGTTGTTTGTCAAAGTCCCAACTATAGATAGGTCCATCTAACCAGATAGCTTTATGAATTTCACTAAATCCTCCTTTAGCATAATGATCAATACTTGATAAATTATTGTAAGGTATCCATTCTAAAATTTCATAACTATTTTTAGCATTTATTTGTGCTTCTTGAATAAATTTATCAATAAATTCATTTTTACTAGTCCACTTTGAAAAATCTTGTTGAAATCGTCTAGTATTACATTGTTGGCACCACTGATAATCAGTATATGGTTGCTTGCATTCATTACATGATTCAATTTCATTTTTAGAATTTACTTTATCATTTACTGCTACTTTTTGATACCAATAAAAAGCTTTTTCTAAATTCTTTTCTGTTCCTTCTCCATTTTTATAACATATGGCTAAACTATTCATTGCATTTTCACTACCATTTTCTGCTGCTTTTTGATACCAATAAAAGGCTTTTTCTAAATTCTTTTCTGTTCCTTC